TTTTTATTAAATTATACAGAGCTCTTCCAGTTACATAAACCAAACAGTACCTTATGTCCCTACAATATCTGTAATGAGAGCTTACTTTTTTTTCTTTTTATGCCCCCTATAACCTCTAGCTCCCCGTGGAATGTATATAGTGGCCTAACATTAAAAAAATCCCAAAACCCCCAAAAACAAAACCAAAAAAGCAATAGTAGGATCTTAAAAGTTCAGGACATAAATTGAATGGAAAGATGCTAACCCTTTTTCAGCTGTATCTTTCTGCAATGAGCAGCCCACAACCTGCAAAAACACAAAACAAACACAAGAAGGTTGACAGGAACTCCTCCTGCAGTGGGCTGGGAAAGGTAGCTGCATCTTGCACCCACAAGACTTAAAATGGGAAAGTTTCTGGTAATGTGAACATCTGATAACTGCGCACAAGTCAGAAGTGGTTGCAGCAGAATCACCCTGTCCCAGGCTCTTGGAGCTGACAAGATCAACGCTCTGCGAGCTGCTCCCTCCCCCTCCCCACACCATTCCTCTAGTCCCAGGATTGTACCGATGAGCAGCCCCCACCCAGCCCAGGCTAGAGAGATGCTTAAATTCAGATGGCCTTTAAGGAAAACCTGTAAAGAGGAGGCTGCTGGAGCTGCTTCTAGCAGGCAGAAGCAGCAGCAGAAGGAAGGATACAGAATTGCAGATACGCAGGGAAATGTCTAAATAGGGGAGTGAAGGTCTGTCAGCGGTTTGCTTCACAGCACTTGACCCCAGCACCACACCGGTAGTCTCTTACAGATCACAGCCAGGTATGACCCTTCATCTGCTGGGCTCCAAGAGTATGACAACAGATCACATCTGTCTGGCACAGCCACACTGATGCGACCTCGGTATTTCTTCTGGTTGGACAGCCTTTTCCCCAGTTTGTTCTGACTAGTGGTACTGCAGTAGGCCTTTTCACCTTCTACTTCAAGGTCTATATGCCTTTCTCTTATGTCCTTACAGTTTTCCTTCAGTGTCCTCTTTCTCCATTAGCTTAGCTAAGCACTCCCTTTGCAAGAAGTGTTTTTGTTGTGTAGTCTTTTTTTTTAAAAAAAATTTAGATTAAGGATTTTCAAAGTTTATACTCTTGGAGTTTCTTGGTATGTCATATAGCAACTTCAAGAGAATATGGGAGAAGCCTCATTTCCTGGCCAAATAATACACTGCTAGCTGCACCTAGCAACCTCACTTTCTGTGCAGATTTACTTGGCAGTCCAAAATACTCGTGAACACATGTACTCAAAATTCCCCAGCACACAACACTTAAAAAGCTATTCAACCTTTCAGTGAACGCAACACTCAGAAGTTTGCACTCTGAAAAAATATCTCCTGCTGTAACTACTTAAATAGGACTTTTTAGCTGCTACTTCTTTCATAAAAGCATGATATCAATTTCTACTTTAATGGAGTGGTGTGCTTGCCCCCCCACCACACACAGCAGCTTTAGGTAAACAAGATTCTCTATGCAATTGCCCTTTCAAAGCTTCACTTTGATGTTAAGTCATTAAGACTTAACATCAAAGTGCTCAACAGCCAACTTTCTTACAAGCATTTGAAGGAACCCATACAAATTAGAAACCCACAGAGGCAGACTTGTCCAAGTATCTGAGGTTGAGGGGAGGGAACAAAACCCAAAGACTATCAGCATTACAGAGCACTGTGATAAGTGACGTTCCTGTTAAGAGTGACTCACTCTAGAAAAAAAGGTTACCAACATATATTTATGAATTATGAGTCATTGACTCTTTGTAATAAGACAGTTCCCATATAATTGAAAGAAGAGGTGCAATTCTGACTTAAATTACTCTAATGCACATCAAAATACTTTTCTTTTTTGTCTGGCTGATATTTGGCAAATGTAACATATACTGTATTTTTGAACAATTCTTTCACAGAAGCTTGTCTCTCAGCCCAAAACAATAAGGACCTACTAGCATACCAAACCCTTAAAAGCTTTCTGCAGACAGACTTCTTAAAACACCATTTCATTAGCAATTAGTATGAACTTTTTTTTTTTTTTAATCTTTTTATTTTTTGGTAAGCACTATCCTAATACTTTAAAAGTAAAATGCCACTTGCTGACTAGTCGCCACCTGAGACATTTTCGTTTCTATGGGAAAGTACAGACTGTATGGACAAGGTCACCTGAATATAACAGAGATTGCCACCATCAACAAAGCATTAATGCTAACAACGCAAAAAGGGTAGAAAATTAAATATGGCAGTCACAGTGACAAAGGCATCAGCTTAGCTACTCTTGTAACAGAGACTGGTGTCACAGGAGGAAGAGACCCTAGTAAGAAAGGAGCTGGCGACATACAGTGTGAGCATGAATTGTGGGGAATGACAGAAGACAACATGAAGTAAGCTGCCAATGCTGACCAATATGATAGGAGGTTTGATTAGGCCAATCAAATAGTACCTTCATTGGCTTGTAACTTTCAAAAACTGCCAGGAAGCACCGCAAGTTCCCCTGATTAGCGCTCAAAGCTGAAGCCTGAATGAGTACCGTACTAAAGGTGGACTAATTTATCTATCTGCCCTATAATCTGCTATCTCAACCAGAAACAAAAGGCAAGATCTGGTCCCATGCACCAGGAAGCAAAGGCAAGGAAAAGACAGACAGTCAAGAAAGCAGACGCAGCTCAGCTTCATAAAAAAAAGCAAATTGGAAACTCAGTGGCAGATTTCCAAGCAAGCAGGTGGATTTGTACATCTGGTTACTGACATCTGCAGGATAGCCAGCTTAGAAAACAAGTGTTTCCAGAAGCATTATGACAGAAGCAGTCAAAAATATTGTACTTCTCTATTAATGACCTACTAGATTTTGTCAGTGTTTTTAGGAGGCACTGGTATCAGCTAATCGGGCAGCAGAAACGCATTCTTTGGAAGAAGCTATACTAGCATTTCTTTCTCTGCACGGGGATACTCTGCTACCTGAAATAGCACTGAAAATTCAAAACATGTGCCAATTATGTCAATATATGTAGGTAAGTCTTTGCAGTGTTTGATTTTCTGGCATCACTCAGACTTCTTTTCAGTCTCCTAAATTTTATCTTATCCACAGCCTCCCTGCCACTCCAGGACTCAGCCTTCCAACCAGGTGGCAGATAACAATATCTGTGACAAACACCTCAGCTGCATCTTTTGCCTGATAACAGTCAGGTTTTAAATCCCTATAAAAAAGCACCCCGAACTCTAGGCAGAACCACGTAAACTATTCAAACATATGCAGTGAGCAGTAGTCCAGCAGAAGGTAGGGACAGGAGGAGGAAAATGAGAAAATGGGGGGGAAAAAAAAAAGAAAACTTTCAAATAAAGTTTACTAAGTAAACCCACATCCAAATAGCCAACAAGGGAGAGGAGGAAAGCAAAAATAATCAAGCAGCAGCATTACATGGCCATACAGTCAATAATGGATCCTTAACCAGTCCAGAGGAAGGAGTGTTGATTAGTTAAAGGAAATGCAATTCAGCTCCCAGCAACGGAAGAAAACATACACGTAAGAGAATGAGCAGTGTTGAAGTACTCTCCTTCCAGCATATGCTCATACTTTTCTGAATTCTTTCTTGGTTCAGATTTTTCTATTGGCTTCTATGCAAAGTACTTACTCCTCCAGCAAAGTCGAGTTTTCACAAACTGCCAGGTTAGTCTCTGATACATAGGACAGGCTCTGACACTTACTGGCTCTCCAAAAAACAACTCTATAAAAAGTCTTCTCCTCTCATTAATCAGCCTTATTATGGCTATCTAATAAAAATGACATTGGAAGGAAGGAGAGAATATCTTTTACTATCCAAGAGGAGCGTACTCTTGCCAGCTAGTTGCTCAGTATGCCTATATGGGCACCAAGATCGCATGGGATATAGGCAAAGTCTTGTAAGAAAATCTGCAATCAAATCAGTTACAAGAGACCATTAAAAGCAGCCTTCTGCTGCTGCTTTTCTCTTTGGTGAATGCTACTTTTGCTTGAAGACTGTCTACCACACGTACGTGTGGAAAACCTGCAGACCAGTAAGTCCCTTGCAATGGAAAAGTCCAAACAGGACAGAAGGGCCTTCCTGGCTCTAGGACTGGATTTACTCTAGGAGTGAGTAAACTCAAGTCAAAGAAATGTAAGAAACAAAGACAGACTTCCAGATGGTTTTCCCAATTGCTCGTTGTGCGACATCTTTAGAGAGTGCTCAGATTACAGTATATGTAGGCAGGCTAAAAGTCTTTTCTTTTTTTAAAAAAGACTACTGCACATAGAAGGATGGAGACAGCTTGATTGCCACTCATTCTGTGAAATCAAATAAAAAAAAATTATCTCCTTTCAATGAGAGTTAAAAAAATTAAAAGGCATTTCAAAACTAAATCATTAGCATGGAAGTTTTTATACTGGCAACTAATAAGAAGAAAATAACATCAAGAAACCCCACATAATGGTATGTGCTTTTACTTAATTGGGAAAAAAACACCCAAGCAAAAAAACAGTCTCGAAACTCCTCCAAAACAATGTCAGCCTGGTAACCATATCATTTCAGCTTCATCATAACCAATCCATTTCAGCTTCAAAATACATTTGAGCCTTTTAGTTGCTCTTTTCAAATAGATGTAGCGGCATCATTTTTATAGCAATTTGCGTAAATCTGAAAGCAAGCTAATTCCCAACTGCGTGTTCCAAACTTGCACTATGGCTAGTAACTCCAGATTTAAACAGCCAATGCCACCAAATGCCCAAAAACTTGAAAACTGTGCCAAAAGCATTAAATCAATAGTTTTTGCTGAGAACAGAATCTCTTCCAGATGCTCACTGAATCTCTTCCTAGCTCACATCAGCTGCCTCTATGTTACAAAGCAGAAACATTCTATTCCATGTCAACAGTATCTTTGAGCCAGTATCAGGAATTTCACTAAGCCTGGAAATAATAAATATACTTAGACAAGCTAAGACAGAAGCAAGAAGAATTGATGGGAGAAGAACTGGAAGAACAAACTTGGGGGAAAATAAGGAAAGTTAAAGGGAAAAATAGAAAACTTTATGGAAAAAAGTGTACTTATTGCTTGCAGAAAGAAATGTTCCTGCTAATTTTCAGTCAGCTTTTTATCTCCTATGTTCTTATCCCTGGGAATAAAAATACTCAACGCAGAGTTGCATTTTTCAAACCTCAGGATTCTCAAAGAAAAATGCATTTCACTGACAGACAGTAGCCACCAAGTTTACAATTTAACAGAAATTGTTTCAGATGGTCTTTGTGGCTCCACCAAAAAGCTTGATTTTATTCTTCATTGCAGCTTCGCTTCAAATAATAACTTGTTAACCTGGTTCTTTAGTTGAAGTTCTAGTTGATGATGAAACTAGGATGCTACGAAGGAATAATCTCTCAAAGAAAAACTTGATTGCTGCAATCAAAATCATACTGCAATATCTTGAATGTTATGTGTAGAACATTTCTAATCTAAACTTAGTTTGACTAGTTGCACCTACAAGAATCTGCTAACAAGAATCTGGCTGTTAAAAAAAGTTAAAAAGAAGGGAGAGGGGAGAGAAGTGGAAGGTTATACTTGCTGATGCGGTTAAGACTTTTGTCTGAAACCAAAACACCATTTTGTTATATCGCTGCAACTTTTGGTTTTGGAAGCAAAAGGAGAAGAGTTGCATGACTTTTCCTCCAAAATACTTTCTGTTCTGATCCCCTATATCTCCAATTTATTGTTATGCTAAGGTTATTTAGTAACAGATTTACCTGTGTTTCCTTTTCTTCTTTCTGGGAGGAGTATCAACATCTTCAGCAGGGACTGGAGCAATAATACTAGATTCCTTTACTCTAAACTCATACACCTAACAAGAGATACCATAATACATCCACGATAAATCTCTCACTAGTAGAAAGTTGCTCATTTTCTAAGTTAGTATGATTTCCTCCAACCAACAACTTACACATTATACCCAGTCATAGTCTCTTTTAAATACATTTTAAGTTGATTATTTTTGTCATTTAAGAACAGATAGTCTAATTTAAACCTGCTGTAAATTTAATTTAAAAACAGTTTTAAACTAACTTTTTATATATTTGTGGCACAACTTCTAGATCATAGCATTCTTGGGGAAACCAAGAAAATTAATTAATTTTCTCTTTTAGTAACCAACACTAGTATTTCTATACTTCAGTTTTAAAAGTGAAACACTATCATCCTTAGTAAGTAGCTTCCCTTCTTACCTGCCTGCATGTTTTGGTCCCAATCAGTCTGGCAATTGCACAGAAGTTGTCATAGTAGGTGCCAATAAGAACTCTAAACATTGAGGCTTCTGCACCACTCCATTCCACATTCTCTGGCGGCTCAATATTTGGCTTCATCTTTATTGGTGTTTGACACCTAGAATTTGCTTCTGTAATATATAATTGGGAGTATGGGTCAATGTAAGGCTATGTTTCAAAAATTTTACACAGCCCTTAAAAATGTCAATTTATTAAGTGTAGTTAAAAATACCCCAGGTTTTTGTTGTTATTGTTTCCTAAGCTAAGTACCACAACAAAGCAGCACTTTTCACATACCTCTTGAAGAAGTTAAAAATTAGGTTAACAGTAGCTATTGAAATTACACAATCTCACCTCTACATATAAATCGAGACAATATGGAAATTTTCTTACAGGGTTCTATTTGATTAAACTCATATTATTCCTCTGTCTTTTCACTCAGTTCCATACATTCCAAATATATGGTTTCTAGGATCACGTGGCTCAACTTGGGGTTTTTTGTTTTGTTTTGTTTGTTGGGTTTTTTTTAATCCTCTCAAGCACTGCCGCTAATTGAATAAAGAAGCATTGACTAGCCTTACCAGAGGAACTGGATGTTTCATCTTTCTTTTCTTCTTCTTCTTTATCATTGTTTTCTCCTCCAGTTTCAGTTCCAGCTTCTCTATCACTGTCTGTGTCTTTTGATTCCAATACATTTATTGTCGGCGTGCTGGGTCTGCTGGTGTTGTTTGGAAGTCTTCCCCTTCGGCGGCCACCTGGGCGCTTTGGTGGTGTCTTTATACGCTCAGCAGTCAAGGCAGCTGCAAACTCCTTTGCACCTTCCTAAACACAAAACATTACAACTTTTAGTGAAAGAATTAAAAAGTGTTTTCACCTGTGGTCAGGGATTGGGGGAGAACATGTCCTATGCCTACTGTATAACTTTGCATTATTCTACAAATTAATCATGTACACACAAATTCCAGTTAAATGTACTCTAGCCATTTACAAAGTACTTATGTCAGTATTTCAGTTCCACTTTCATTTTGGCTGCCAAGTGAAAAAAATAATTCAGCAGTAAATTTATATTTTCCTAGATGACAGAAAAAATGAGAATTTCCCCGCAGAGCGAATTCAAAAATACAAGACCCTTCAAAATACAAGAACTCTTCTTGCACATGGCACTTAAACAATATGCGTTCTGCATTTTTTAAAACGCAATCACTGGTAATTTGTTTTCTAGTGGAAAGGGGTATGACAATGCTTAGCAAGTTTGTAGATTGGAAAATTACACGGTTTCTCATACTAAATATTTAGGGGGAGTATGAGAGAGATTTGAAATTATATTACTGAGGATTTCCCCTTATTAATTTCCATCCTGTTCTTTCTTAAGAGCACAAATGCTGGATGGAATCCACCTTCAGAAAACTAAAAAACCTTTATAATTTTTAGTTGTGATATAACTTACAAGAGAGCTTAGTCTGTAAGACACAATGGCAACAACACATTATTAGGAGGTAATAATCCTTTGCTACTATCTGAGGCTACTCCTAATAGAGCTAAAAATTATTCCTACTTAGACTTTCATTTGATGATTGGAAGTTAATTATTTTCTTTTGCACAAACTGAAGATAACATACTTGAGTGCAAGTGGCCCACAAGTATATGCACTATCATAGATCCAGCATGTCCTTACATGAAGTGTAGCTTGCTATACTGCAGCTAGCACTAGCACTTAGTGAATTCTAACATAGGAAATTATCTTACCAGATGTTGATAACAGTGCGGTCCACAAGGCTTATTATCTAATGCTGTTTCTGTATTCTTTCGTTTATAAGTATTAGGAGTTGCATGGAATGCTGTTGAATCAAAACATCACATTTGTAAGTTTTAATATAAAAAATACATTTGATAGCCAATGTCAAACAGTACCCAAAACACAAGGTTTACCAAGACACTACTAAAACCAGAATAAAAATTATAACAAATGGAAAAAACCACAAAATAAACCCCATCTAGTGACATTTGACTTACCACTTAAAAATACAGAGACAGCACATGGGTAAGTTTCACATATGCCCTTTTACATCAGTGAAGAAAATCATCACATTTCTTTCATGTATCAAGGAAGACATGCTATATCTCCCTTTCCAACAAACAGAACAGACTTCTGTTACCATGTTGAGCAGAATTATTCAGGGCTTCTCCTATTAATGCATGATCATCTCTCAATCCATAAGATTCAGGTGTTCAGTTTCTATCTTGTCAAAAAATCCAGCCCCACACACTTTGGAAAGGTAACGAACGACTTTCCATTTTTGTTAGTGAGAAGGACACATAAGCATTTTTACTCTATTAGTTTATCAGCACTCCAACTAAGCTGACAGGTGATAAGAGTTCAGTTCCTATATCCCAGCTGCAGGGTAAAAATAAGTTAGCATCGCACAGTCACTATGGATCAGAACAACCACAGCTGTCTGCAACTTGCAGAGCAGTGTCTGCTCGTCTATCTGACAGACTCCATATAACTCTGTGTAAGTTGCAGAACGATGACTCAGAATGGAGCAGAACTGGGTATGTTACAGATGCAACACGAGCACCTGTATAACAGGATGGCAGAGTTTCCTACACGTTCCCTTTGCCAGGACTCGTCTCTACCAGCTCCCCCTTGCACAATCCCTGCCTCCCAGCAGGAGGTTTTCAGAGAGACTGACTTTCCTGGTTTTGCTGGAAGTCTTGGGAACTCTTCCATATCCCTTACTTAACTGAAGCCTGGAAAACTTGCAGCTATACTGTCACCAGAGCTCATATACTCATGTTCCCAAATTACATTAGGAGCTTTTTGAAATACCATCCTCAGTTTTCTGCAATTCTCTTTTTTAAAAAAATCCCTCCATGCTCAAGGAACAATTCTTTTTTTTTTTTTTAATATACACACACACACACATATAGATAGATATCAATACTTTTTCCCCCTAAATGTGCTAACAGTGGCATACACAACTGCATGGGGCG